TCTGCTTTTTTCCCTGTAACTTTTTTCCTGATTTACAGAGCCCAGGTGGTTCCCTTCTTCCATGGCTTACTTCTTCTACCTCTGTGATTTACTTTTTCTTTTTTTACCCTCTCCTAAGTGACAGCTTTTTTATTGCTTTTTAGAGAGACAAAGAGAGAAATATTGATGCAAGAGAGAAGCATCAATTGGTTACCTCCTGTATATGCCCAGAAAAGACTGAACCCACAACCCAAGGTTGTGGCCCAACAAGGAATCAAACTCGCAAACTTTTTGTTATGGGACAATGCTCCAACCAACTGAGCCACACTGGCCAGGGCATTCGTGACTCTCTAAATAAACTTTTGTTTATACTTGAGTCTTGACACTAAATTCTTTCTTAGCCAGAACTCAAGAACTAATGTTGCTAAACTGAGGTTCAGTAGCATTCTAGTGCCATTTTGCCATTAACAACTTTTTAAAAAATTGAAGATGAGTAGTAGTCCTCTGTATGAATATAACATAATTTGCTTATCCACTGGTAGACTTTTGGTTTCTTTCCAGAGTTTACTTACTATGAATAAATCTGCTATAAATGTTTATATGCAAGCCTTATTGTGAGCATATGTTTTCATTTATCATGAGTAAATTCTTAGAAATAAAATTGCTGAGTTAAATGGGAAGTCTATGTACATCTTTATAAAACTTGCCAATTTCTGTGGAGAAGTCTATGGGCTTTCTTTGGAGTTTTTAAGAGTCCCTCGCTGTTGTTTTTTTTGTTTGTTTGTTTTTAAGCAATTTGATTATGATGTACCTTGATTGTGTGTTTGTGTGTTGGTGTTTGTCCTGTTTGGGGTTTAATACAAATCTTGAATATGTGGGTTTATTATTTTCCTCCAATTTGGAAAAATTTTAGTCATTCTAAAAAAAGTATTTTCATGGCCCCTTTAGGGGAATTCCATCTTCTATATATAAGCCCAATCAGTAGCCCGGAAGTGTGGATGCTGTCTATACTGCATGAAGGAAGTTCTTTGTTTAATGTGTTGAACTACAGTCTGTCTTCAAGGATGCATCCACAGCACTAATGGAAAGAAAGTCCTATCTATACTGTTGATATATTCACTTGAAAATGTTTCCAGTTTACTCTGGTCTTACCTCTGAGAAGCATATTACCCCAGACTCGTGTTCTTTACTTGCTACAACAAAGAGGAAGCTGTGGGTCCCCAGTGAGTCACTGGATTGTTGCTGCAGTTATCATCCTGTTTGTCTGCTGCTTTCATCATCACTGGAGGTGGTATACAACTTTTCTTTCTCAGGCCCTCACACAGACATTTTTGTGTAGTCTAGTCATAATTTCCACATTAGATATGTTTTTATTTCCTGTAAGTCTATGTTTTTTTAAAAAATTGAATTTATTGGGGTGACATTGGTCTGCAAAACTATACAGGTTTCAAGTATACAACTTATAAAACATCATCTTCACACTGCATTTGCATACATCACCCCAACCAGTCTCTTGCCCCCACTTTGCTCACATCCACTTACCCACACTATGCTTTCTCTTTGGCTATTCCCACACTGTTGTCTGTGTCTACATGTTATACGGTATATATATGGTTTTTTTGTTTGTTTGTTTAATCCCTTCACTTTTTTCATCCAGTCACCCAAGTCCGTCCTCTCCGACAGCTGTCAGTCTGGTCCACGTAACCATGCCTCTGTTTCTATTTTGTTCATCAGTTTATTTTTTTCATTAGATTTTACCTGTAAATGAGATCATATGATATTTGTCTTTCTCTCACTAGTTTATATTACTTAGCATAACAATCTCCAGGTCCATCCATTTTGTCACAAAGGGTAAGATTTCCTTTCCTTTATGGCTGAGTAGTATTCCATTGTGTAAATGTACCACAGCTTTTCCATCCACACATCTATTGATGGGCACTTGGGCTGTTTCTAGATCTTGGCTATCGTAAATAATGCTGCTATGGACATAGGGGTGTATATATTCTTTCAAATTAGTGTTTCAGATTTCTTGGGATATATTGCCAGAAGTGAGATTGCAGGGTCAAAAGGCAGTTCCATTTTTAATTTTTTGAGGAAACTCCATACTGTTTTCCACAGTGGTACAGAGGCTGCAGCTTTTAAGATATGCAAATAAACTTCTTTCAGGAAAAGACTAGAAGATGTGTTTTGTTTTTTCTTTTTTAAATCCTTGCCCGAGGACATGCTTATTGATTTTTAGAGAGAGGGAAGGGAGAGAGAGAGAGGGAGAGACACACCAGTGTGAGAGAGAAACAATGATCAGCTGCCTGTAACCCACAACCTAGGCCTATGCCCTAACCAGGAATCCAACCCCTGGCCTTTCAGTTGCAGGACATCACCCAATCAACTGAGCTACGCCGGCCAGGGTGGAAGATGTGTTTTTTTGTCTGCTGATTCTGTGGTGAGCCCAGGGAGGATAACCATGTGAGTCCTCGAGAGCCTGGTAAGAACACTTTCTTTGTTTACTATAGTTTTGTGGGTCTCACAGACTCAAGCCCCTTTGTCTTTCAGAGAGGTAGGTGTTTTGGATACCCATCCCTCAAGTGGTAGTCTTTCTAGTTTGGGTAATAAATCTTAAATCCAAATCCCTCACTTTTCATGCAGAAGCTGAGAGTTGTGAGTTTCCTTCCAATTATATTGTGCCAGGGGTGGGGTGAATAGAAGTGTGTCAGCCTTTCCTACTCATTTTGATGTAGGTTTTTCTCATTCACCTGATGTGCAAGAGTTGCTAAGCTAGTTTCTGGATTTATTTGAGAGAGAATTGTTCCATATGTAGCTGCAGATTTGGTGTGTCAGTGGGAGAAAGTGAGTTCAAGAGCCTCCCATGTCACTAATTTGAACAAGAACATAATTATTTTCATTCTTCATTTGTGACATTAGTCTATTTTAGTCTGTACTTTTTACATAATTTTTTTTGCAACCAGGTATTTCTTCCAGAAATATTGTACTCCTAGTATCTCATTTAGCCAGTGTTATATAACTCCATTGCTTTATCTGTCAGCTTATGCCATAATCACGTTTTCCTTACTTTGTCATAATCAGCAGGTCCATTTAGAAGTTTCATTTTCTAGAATATAAGTGAGTCTCCATTGTTAGGCCTTTTTCTTAGTATATCTGATTAATTTATAATTTTGTCTACTTGGAACAAATGGCAGCCTGGATTCACATAGTATTGCCCTGCGTGCTGCCTCACCTCTTCATACATGCTTGTACATAGGCTATACATGCAGACTACAGGGTTTTTGCACCCCCACAGTTCAGGGATCCTGTCATCCTTGCCTGCGGGTTTTACACTTGGCAGAGAATTTGATATTTAGACTTGAGCCTATCACATGTGCTCAGTGTCCCAGGAACAGAACAGAGGGCAGTGCCCATTCTTTATTAAACCCCTGTGCTTGGAAAGCAGAAGGTGCCAGCTGGGCCTCAACTTACATCATGAGCCCTTTTCTACTTAGTTACTCTGTGCAAACTCTTGACCTCCCTTTCTATGTAGTTATTAAGTGTAACAACTGACATACATTAGTTCTTCCTGTTGTTGGTACAGAATTGACTTTTTTCCCTAGGATTACTTGTCCTATCATTTCTGGTGTCCATTATTTAGTTTTACAAAATGAAACAAGGAAATAACCTATGCTTAGAAATGTATATACTTTTACTGGAATAAACGTATGTATAAATACCCATACAATAGTTCCTTTTTTTACTAAATTAATTTAAAATAAACACCTATAATATTTATTTTATATTACAAACATAAATCATTTCCTTTTTAGATCATTGTGAATTCATAGATTTTTATACATTCAAATAGTTCTAATTAATCATCATAACTTGATGGTTGTAACTGTATTGGAAAAGATATGTATTGTCAAATTTATAATTTTACTTTCTTTCACTCCTAATTTAATATAATAAAGTAGCATTTTGTTCAAGATAATTATATGTATTTATATATATTTAAAGTAATATTGTAGTTTAAGGAAGAATGTAGGGAAAGGGACATATTCTGGAAGCCTAAATTTAATAAGGATCTCTGGGCTGTTAGGTACTTGTTGTTGTTATTTTGGCCTGCTCTAACAAAATACCAAAGACTGGATGGCTTAAAAAACAGACATTTATTTCTCATAGTTCTGGAGGCTTGGAAATCTGAGATCAAGGTACCAGCACAGTGGTGGAAGACCAAAATATTCAGTCTATGACAGTCCAGTAAATGAAGTCAGGGACCCTGATGGTGTCTTTATCACAAAATGTCACACTTTCATTTGTATTAAAAAACTATTTTCTCTCATCTATGAAAATTTAAGATGTAATCAACAGCTCCACCACCTCTTTCCCAACTCCAAAACAAAGGTTTTTGTGTCTTCATGTACGATGTACATACATTGTGAACATTAAAAGCTTTTGCTCATTGGTCACATTGTCTTTTACTATTTTGCACACAACTTACTCAGAATGGAGAACTATGTAGGGCAGAGCTTACCTCAAGCATATAATTATCATTTAAAATATATATCCAGGAAAAGAGAAAATGAGAGTATTATTATTATTATTATTATTTTTACTTGTGAACTTGTATTTCAGATTCTTCTTTGGGGTAAAACAAGCTCTTCAAATGTTTACAAGGTGATTTCTGGATTGTAAAAACCCCATGTTTTTACACTGTATTCCCCCATTCAAACTTGTCTGCCACAGTCAGACAGAAGGTGTGGGGGTCTTTTTTTTGTTTGGATTGGAACCGTATCAGCAGCCAGTAATTGCTCCAAGCCTGTCAGATAGAGCATTAAACTTGTATTAGGTATAATGATTACTCTGTTAGGATACAGCTAATTTTTTTGTTTAAATGAATAAAAATAAATTGAATCATTTCATATGACACACTGATTAGTGATCTCAGTTACTTAAGGAAATTTCTACTAACTGGTTTTGGGTATTGCTTTCTCAATTTCCTTTTCTCTTTGCTCCATCTGCCAGAGTGAATCAAAGGAAACCTCAGTCTTTAAACAGACTTCTTCTTTTGACTTAAGTCTTTTATATTGGGAACTTTACAGTCCCACCAGAATAGTAAGACTGATGTTTTATCTCAAGTATTCCTGAATATATTCCTTCATCCACAGAAATATACCCTGGAAGCAAAATATAAGAGACATCTGTGTCTCCCAAACCCTGGAAAATAAGATAGTTAACACACAATGGGGGAAGAAGAACTTCAAAATAAACGTGAGTACTTCTCTCTTTCAATTTTAAAGATGCTGGTAAAATTAAGGCTAAGATTTTAGAATAAAATTGAGAGTTGTAGTTTTTAAGATTGAATATCATGATATGGGGGGCCAGGTAGAAGATAATGAGAATGACTTTGATGAAGAGAAAGGCCATAGGTAGACTCAAATACATTGGGCAACAGAAACTTCTTTGCGAAACATAAATTGGGCCAGGAGAGAAGTTAAAGTGTATAAAAGAAAAACAAGAAAGAAAGAAAGAGAATAACTTGGGCAGATTCTTTAAAGGGAAGAGAGAGAAGGAAGATACAGAAGACACACTGACTAAAGCTCGCCCTGTTCCTGAGACTCTAACTTTATCCCATTTTATGTTTTGCTGAAGTGACGCAAATGGATTTGTAGTATGAGAACATTAAATAATATTTTAGAAATATATAGAACATATAATTTTAAAATTGTTTCACTTTAACTGCATCAGCCCACCATGGCAAATGTTAATAGACCCACAGTGAACAATGGTACCAAAAAACCCCTTTCTTCTGTGACAACATGTCTTGGAGATTTTTTAGCACAGTGCATACTCACATACATGATTATTTTAATTGCCATATAGAATTTCATCGTATGGATTCACCATAATATAGAATCTCTGTTATTGACATACAGATACAAGTATTAAGTTTCAGTGTTTTATTCTATTTCCAAAGTACTCTAATGAATACCTTTTTACATAAATAAATTCAGTTATATCTATAGGATAAATCTCTAGAAATGAAATTGTAGCACTTTGTAAAGTATATGATTGTCTAACTATTATGCTGTATGGCTGAAAATAATACAAAATAATATTAAATGTAAACTATAATTAAACAATGAAACTAAAAATAAAAAAGAAATTGTTGTGACAAAAGTAATGAAATTCAAAACTGATAAATGCTGCTAACTTTTTTATAAGTTATGTTATTCCTTTTTTTAAGACTTCATTTTTATTTCTTTTTAGAGAGAGGGGAAGGAAGGGATAAAGGGAGGGAGAGAAACATCAACATGTGGTTGCCTCTTGCACTTCCCCAACTGAGGACCTGGCCCACAACCCAGGCGTATGCTCTGACTGGGAATCAAACCAGCAACCCTTTGGTTGCAGGCTGGTGCTCAATCCACTGGGCCATACTGGCCAGGGCTAAATGCTGCTACTTGATCTGTGTAAATGGCTTTCTAACTTGTAGTTCAGCAGCATTTATTTTCTCACCTAGAGTGTTACATTATTAATTTACTTTTTAAAATCTGATTTGTGAAATATCATACCATAATATTTTAGTTTACATTTTTCTTAGCTTATTTTTATTTGTTTAATGGCCATTTGTACTTTCAACAAGTCAAAATTTCTGTTCAAATTTTTGTTGTTTTTTAATTGAGTAAAATATTTTATACAGTCTGGATATTACTATTGTGACATGATTTTTCTTCCATGTATTCCTTTTTGCTTTAACATTGTTTATTATATAGAAGTTTTAACATTTATGTACCCAAGTTATCAATTTTTTATTACTTTTTTTAGTTTTGTATCTTTCTTATAAAAGCCTGTCTTTTTCAAAAAATGTTTACATATTTCTTATTTATTAGTAAGCTCTGGAATTGATTTTTTCCAGAAAAAATCTTTAAGCTCTCCTCTACATCTAAAATATTTTGGATAATCTCATATTTAGCTTGCTTTAGTAGAATTAGTTTTCCTAGCACTTGGGGCTGAAAAGAAAATAACCTGTTTATCTATCTTTTTATTCTTATAGAAAGAAGCCAGATTTTACAGCTAATCCCATGGGTCATTGCTCTTGTTTTCATCTCAGTTCTCAGTGCCTGCTTTATTGCAAATTGTTTGGGTGAGTTGTTAACAAAACTGGAGCTCTCCTTGAGTTATTTTCCCCCAAAGTTTCATAAAGTTACTTTAAACCTTCTATTATCTTGATTTCCCCTGAACATATCAACCTATAAGGCCTTTGGGATCTTTGATTTAAAATTCAGAGCTACATATTAGATCTGTTATTCTTTGGTGAAGCTGCCTTGTGTCAGGAAATTTAGGCCCTTTTCTTTTTTTAAATATATTTTATTGATTATGCTATACAGTTGTCCCATTTCCCCCCTTCATTCCCCTCCACCTTGCATAACCCCTCCCACCCACATTCCCCACCTTTAGTTCATGTCCATGTGTCATACTTTAAGTTCTTTACTTAGTACATTTCCCATACTATTCTGACCCTCCCCCTGTCTATTTTCTACCTACTGTCTATGCTACTTATTCTCTGTATCTTTTCTCCCTCTCTCCTCCTCCCACTCCCCTGTTGCTAACCCTCTGCGTGATCTCCATTTCTGTGGTTCTGTTCCTGGTCTAGTTGTTTGCTTGGGTTGCTTTTGTTTTAGGTGTGGTTATTAATAACTGAGTTTGTTGTCTTTTTACTGTTCATATTTTTTATCTTCTTTTTCTTAGATAAGTCTCTTTAACATTTCACATAATAAGGGCTTGGTGATGGTAAACTCCTTTAACTTGAACTTATCTGAGAAGCGCTTTATATGCCCTTCCATTCTAAATGAAAGCTTTGCTGGATAGATCAATCTTGGATGTAGGTCTTTGTTTTTCGTGACTCAGAATACTTCTTTCCAGCCTCTTCTTGCCTGTAAGGTGTCTTTTGAGAAATCAGCTGATAGCCTGATGGGAACTGCTTTGTAGGTGACTGTCCCCTTATCTCTTGCTGCTTCTAGAATTCTCTCCTTCATTTTAATCTTGGCTAATGTAATTATGATGTGTCTTGGTGTGTTCCTTCTTGGGTCCAACTTCTTTGGGACTCTCTGAGCTTCCTGGACTTCCCAGAAGTCTATTTCCTTTGCCAGACTGGGGAAGTTCTCCTTCATTGTTTTTTCAAATAAGTTTTCTACTTGTTGCTCTTCCTCTTCTGGTACCCCTATAATTCAGATGTTGGAACATTTAAAGATGTCCTGGAGGTTCCTAAGCCTCTCCTCATTTTTTGAATTCTTGTTTCTTTATTCTTTTCTGGTTGGTTGTTTCTTCCTTCTGGTCTACTTCATTGATTTGAGTCCCTGTTTTCTTCCCATCGCTATTGGTTCCCTGTGCATTTTCCTTCATTTCACTTAGTGGGGCTTTCATTTCCATCTAATTTGCGACCAAATTCAACCAGTTCTGTGAGCATCCTGATCGCCAATGCTCTGAACTGTGCATCTGATAGGTTGGCTATTTCTTGGTAGCTTAAAAATATTGGCTCTGGGGCTTTGATCTGTTTTTCTGTTTGAGCCATTTTTGGGGGGCGTCTGGTCATGCCTGTTATGTAGTGAGGGGCAGAGCCTTAGGTGTTCAGCAGGGCAGGGCAACCCAGTCGCTGTGTTGTGACCTGTATGTGGGGGCAGAGTCAGAGAGGGAACAATGGTGCTTGCTTCACTCTCTCTCAGATTCAGTCTCTTCTGCCACTTCCCACAAGCAAATTGGGCCCTTTTGGTGCTAGTTCCCATGTGGGTGGGCTTGTGTGCATTCTAGACCCCTGTGGGTCTGTTCAACAAACTCTCCTGTGAGGCTGGGAGTCTCTCCCAGCACCTGAACCCCCACAAGTGTTTTCAATCAGTGCTTTTAGGCTTTATTTCCTGGCGCTGGGGCCCTGGGTTGTGCGGTCTGTCTCGCTGCCTGTTTTCACCTGGTTTATCTGGGCACAAACGTGTGACTGTGGTCAGCCAGCTGCCTTGCGCACCTCACTGGGTCTGCTTAGTGCCACCCCAAGCCCAGGGTCTGCCAGCCACCACTGTTTTCTGTCTCAACCCTTCTCTGCCCCTCTTACTGGTCTGGATGAATGGTTGCCAAACTTTCGTATAGTTCAATTTTCTGTCAGTTCTGATTGTTTTTTTTTGTTGTTGTTTCTAAATTTTTGTCATTAATTTTGGTTGTGTGAGGAGGCACAGTGTGTCTACCTACACCTTCATCTTGGCCGGTCAGGCCCTTTTCTGTACATGTGAAGGTTGGTGACTGTAGTAAATCATCTCCCAGGTTGGACTAGAATTACCGAGGGCTGCCTCGTATTAGTAAATCCCAACTTTCATATGGACTGCAGTCTATCTTTGAAGAGAAAAATAGTTGGAAGACTTGTTCTTGCTGATATTAAGACCCGTATAAGGTTATCATAATTAAAATAATATAATATGGGGCAAGTATAGGCAAATAGACTAGAGGAAAATAATGGAGAGCTTAGGTTATAGATTCCAAAGATATAAACCCTTTATACAAAACGGAAGTGGATATTGTAGAGTTGTATGGAAAAGATAGTTTTGTTCAATTAATGCTGTAGAGACCATTGGTTATGTATATTTTAAAAGTAAAATCGGTCTCCAATTTTATATCCTGTGCAAATGCCAACCCAAGGTAAAAAGCAAATCAATAGCACTTTTTAGAAGATAGAGACTTACAGCCAAGATATATGGGTAGGTAGGTATGTTTTGCTTCCTTGTACAACAAAAAAATTTAAAACAAAAACAACCAGAACTTCCAGAAAACTGAACTGTATGAAAGTTTGATAACCAAAGGAGTTAAAGAAGAAAATTCATTTAGATTGGTAGGAGTAGTAAAGACAGGCAGCCAGGACAGAGAGGACACACAATAAGGCAAAGGACTGGTGGGGTGAGGTGGTGGGGTGAGGTGGTTATTCCCACATTCACATGTGAATAACCAACTAGGAACAACTGGGGAGTGAGAGAGACCGAGAAACCCAGGGTTTCAGCGTGGGAAACCAAAGCCTCAAAACCTGTGGCTGTAAAAACTTGTGGAGATCATAGCAGCAGAAGAAACTCCCAGCCTCACAGAAGAGTTCATTGATCCTATGATCCTAGGATCCTAGGACATACAAGCCCAATTCCGAGGAATCAGAAAAAGAAGGGCCCAGTTTGCTTGTGGGTGGCAGAGGAAGTGACTGAAAGTGGGCGAGAGTTGAGCAAGTGGCACTGTTCCCTCTCAGATTCCTCCCCCACATACAGAGGTAGGTTGCCCTGTCTTGGCAAATACCTAAGTCTCTACCCCTTAAAACATAACAGGTGTGCCAAGACAAAAAAAATATGGACCAGATGAAAGAACAAATCAAAACTCCAGAAAAAGAACTAAGAGATGGGGAGATAGCCAACTTATCAGATGCAAAGTTCAAAATACTGGTAATCAGGATGCTCACAGAAATGACTGAGTACATACACAAAATAGAGAAAGAAGTGAAGGCTGTGCAAAGTGAAATCAAGAAAAATATACAGGGAATTAAGAGCGAACAGAAGGAAACAGGAATTCATATCAATGATTTGGAGCAGAAGGAAGAAATAAACATTCAACTGGGACAGAATGAAGAAACAAGAATTCAAAAAAGTGAGGAGAGGCTTAGGAACCTCTGGTACAATTTAAATGTTCCAACATCTGAATCACAGGGGTGCCAGAAGAAGAGGAAGAACAAGAAACTGAAAACTGATTTGAAAAAATAATGAAGGAAAACATCACCAATCTGGCAAAGGAAATAGACATCCAGGAAGTCCAGGAAGCTCAGAGAATCCCAAAGAAATTGGACCCAAGGAGGCACACGCCAAGACACATTATAATTAAATTACCCAATATTAAAGATAAGAGAATCTTAAATGCAGGAAGAGAAAAAGAGGTACCTACAATGGAGTTCCCATAAGACTATCAGCTGATTTCTCAAAAGAAATCTGGCAGGCAAGAAGGGGCTAGAAAGAAGTATTTCAAGTCATGAAAGGCAAGGACCTATATCCAAGATAACTCTTTCCAGCAAAGCTATCATTTAGAATGGAAGGGCAGATAAAATGCTTCTCAGATAAGTTCAAGTTAAAGGAGTTCACCATCACCAAGTCCTTATTATGTGAAATGTTAAAGGGATTTATCTAAGAAAAAAGAAGATTAAAACTATGAACAGTAAAACGACAACATACTCACAACTATTAACAACTGAACATAAAAACCAAAAATGAAGTCCTGGCTGGTGTAGCTCAGTGGATTGAGCGTGGGCCTGTGAACTACATGATTGCGGTTCGATTCCCAGTCAGGGCACATGCCTAGGTTGCAGGCCAGTTCCCAGCAGGGGACTCATGAGAGGCAACCATACATTGATATTTCTCTACTTCTCTCCCTCCCTTCCTCTCTAAAGATAAATAAATAAAATATTTTTAAAAACCTATTTAAAAAAAAACAAAAATGAAAACAAACTAAGCAAACAATGAGAACAGGAAGAGAATCACAGAAAAGGAGATCACACAGAGGGTTATCAGTAGAAGAGAGAAAGAGGACCATGAGGGAAAAGATAAAGGCAATAAGAAGCATAATTGGTAGGTAGGAAATAGACAGGGGGAGGTTAAGAATAATATAGAAAATGGGGAAGCCAAAGAACTTATATGTATGACCCACAGAACACGAACTAAGGGGGGGAATGTTGGTGGGAGGGGGTGTGCATGGCAGATGAGAATAAAGGGGAGAAAATTGGGACAACTGTAATAACATCATCAATAAAACATACTTAAAGGAAAAGAAGATAAATTGAGAAAATCTTCATGACTTTGATCAGAGAATAATTTCTTAAACAAGTTATAACATGTGCTAGTCAATAAGAAAATATTGGCAAATTATACTACATTAAAGAAAAAATTATTGTACAAGAAAATATCACTGACTGAAAATAGAAAGACATAGGAAATGTTTGTAATGCATATAATTAATAAAGGATTAGTGAACAGTATGTATAAACAACTCTTTCAAATCAAGAAAAAATACAATACAACAGAAAAACAGGCAAAGTTTCAAATAAGCACTATGGAAAAGAAAAATGAAGTATCCAATAAACATATAATTAGTAAAAATATTTTTAAAAGTCAGCCATTAATTTTTAGGGAAATGCAAATTAAATTTACGATGAGATGCCATTGCACACATGACGGTGTGGCAAAAACTAAAAAGTCTGGCACTGCTTTTTGGCTAGAACCTCCACCTTCCAAAATGATTAACAGAAGGAGAAAGGGGAGAGGCACTGCTATACATTCTCCAGGCCTTTTAGAAAACATGGAATTGTTCCTTTGACCACATACATGCAAATCTACAAGAAAGATGATATAGACATGGAAGGAATGGGCACTGTTGAAAAATGAATGTCCCACAAGCGCTCCCACGGCAAAACTGGAAGAGTCTACAATGTCACCCAGCAGGCAATGGGCATTGTTGTAAACAAACATGTTAAGGGGGAGATTCTTGCCAAGATAATTAAGGTACACGTTGAGCATATTAAACACTCTAAGAACTGAGATAGCTTCCTGAAAATGTGTGAAAGAAAATGGACGGAAAAAGAAGGAAGCCAAAGAGAAAGGTAACTGGGTTCAGCTGAAGTGCCAGCCTGCCCCGCCCAGAGAAGCACACTTTGTGAGAACCAAGGGAAAGGAGCCTGAGATGTTGGAACCCATTCCCTGTAAATTAATGGCATAAGTATAAGAAAAAATAAAAGACCTCTGAACTGTTAAAAAAAAAAGTCTGGTACTATCAGCTATTGATAATGATCTAGAGCAACTGGAACTCCAATGAATTGCAGCTGGCAGGAGTATAAAGAAGTAGAGCACACTCATTTTGGGAAAGTTTGCCACTATCACGACTGACAATATGTCATTACCAGCAATTTCACTCCTAGGCATAGACCTGGCAGAAATGAAGGCTTATGTGCTCTAGAATGATGCATGGCCAAAAATACCCAGAGCAGCAAACTCACAATAGGCCAACACTGGAAGCAATGCAAATAATCAGAAAGATAGATAAATACCCGTTAGTGCATAAGGGTAATAGATCACTTTATAGCAATGAAAATGGATGAATTATAGTTGCATGTAACAGTGTAGATAAATTTCAGACACCACTGAGAAGAAAACAGAAACGAAAGAAGGTATATTGTATGGCTCCATTTATATAAAGTTTGAAAGGAGGCAAATCTGGGCTATATGGTTTAGAGATATGTTTTTAAGGGGTAAACTGGTAAAGCAAAGCAGAAAGCAATTATTTTAATTTTAAAAGCCATGGCATGGTCACCATTAGAGAGAGGGAGTAGGCTGCATCTGAGATGCAAAGGCTACCTGGTGTGTCGTCGATGCGTTTCTTGAGCTGGGCAGTTGCTTGGAGTGTTCACTTTACAATCTGCTGATATCTTGTACATTTATATTTTTCACTTCTTTGCATTTGGTTATATTTCTTTTTTTTAAAAGATGTTATTTATTTATTTTTAGAGGGCAAGGGAAGGAGAAAGAGAGGGAAACATCAATGTGTGGTTGCTTCCTATGTGCCCCTGCACTGGGGACCTGACCCACAACTCAGGCATGTGCCCTGACTGGGAATTGAACCAGTGACCCTTTGGTTCTCAAGCCTGCGCTCAATCCACTGAGCTATACCAGCCAGGGCTCGTTAGGTTATATTTCAAAGTAAAAATGTCCTAAAGATAAATAAATGTATAAGCATCACAACATTTTGTAGATATATTTGGTGTTCACCAAAAGTCTCTAACACAAATTCTGATAGAAAAATATGCTTAAAATCACATGCACATAAAGGTTTAAAAACTACCTCCATGAAGCACAAAATGGACAATATGATAACAAAAATATTAATTTCAACAATTTTAACCAATTCACCTGGGTCAGCAACAAAGGAACTACAGAGGAAGAAAAGAGAATGTGATGGCCCTGACTACTAAGCAGTCAGGCCCCTTTTCCCAAATTCAGTGGTTATGTAAGGAAATGAAACAAACTTCGGTTCTCCTTGACAGTGACTCGTGACAACTTCCTACACTGTGACAAAAGCATGAGGATGTTCAGTTTACCAGGGCACCACCCGAAGCTGACGTGCACCGAAGAAAAATCGGAACTGAAAGGTACAGGTAGCAGAGAAGCAAAAGGTAATTTCTTTATCTTTTCCACTTCCATTAAACTTTATAATGTGATTTAAAGTATATCCGTAGTAAAGCAAGAGAGCGTAAAATAACATAAGGCGAGAATCTGGCACAAGAGTGAATATTGGTAATTGAGATAAAACTATTCTCCCAACTGTAATCAGGAGATACAACAACGCTTTTATGAGTCATCTTTGCCATCCAAAACATAACATTAATTTAATTCAATTTCTTTTGATTCAGGCATATCATAAGGACTGTTTCCTTCTACGCTTGCTTTTATCTCTATTATTCTGGAATTTATAATCTTATTTGAGAGAATGGGGAAATGTTTGACAGTTTTAGCAGGTTCTTTGCCCCCTTCAGATAAAATGTTCTGTAAAAGCCTTTCTTATGGAAACGCTTCCATTTTTAAAGAAGATTTTATTTATTTACTTTTAGAGAGGGGGAGGGAGTGAGAGAGGGAGAGAAACATCAGTGTGTGTTGCCTCTCACATACCCCCCTACTGGGGACCTAGCCTGCAACCCAGGCATGTGTCCTGACTGGGAATCTAACCAGCTACTCTTTGGTTTACAGGCTGGCACTCAATCCACTGAGCCACACCAGCCAGGGCTGAAACACTTTAAATGTGAACATAAATAGATGTAGAGATGTTGAAAAATGGTCATCCCTTCTAAAAGAATGTGTTGTAATTTTCTTGTAGTCATTACATGATTCCAATACTTTCTTTAAAAAAATTTTTTATTTATTTATTTTTTAGATTTTATTTATTTACTTTTATTTTTTTATTTAATTATTTCCAATACTTTCATTTTGAAGATATTTAGAAGTGTAATTAAGAATATTTTTAAAGGGAGTACAATGATTTTGGTAATCTTGGTATTATTCCCAAAAATGTTAACTGGATACTAGGTGGTAGAATGGTTATGCAATCTATTACAGATGAATGCTTCTTTGTAACTAATTTTCACTTCAATATTCTGGTGAGGGGCCACCTGGAATTGTTGTCCTGTTGGCTGGGGAGCCTTTCAGTCCAACTGCTATCTTCCGTTTAATGACAACAAGGCGTGGGCAGAGAGTGAAAGGAACTGCGCAGGGCTGGGGGCTCACCTGGCCACCATTAACACAGCAGCCGAGCAGGTATGTTGGGAGCCTCCCATCAGTTTCTCTGCTGGTTTGAATTTCTTCAAAGGACTTCTGCTCTGCTATGCCTCTGTGCCTTTGCTTTGCCTGTTCCATCTGCTTGGAAACCCTTTTCTTCCCCTTTTATTTTCTTCATATGACCAACTTCTTCAGGTCTTTCTAGATTTCATTCATGCATTATTTCCTCCAGAAAATTACCTTGACTCATCTTCCCTACTCTACCTTACTTATTCTATGATGGAGGTCCTTCCATGGCACTCTGTGCACTGTGTGACCATGCCCTTACTTCAGTGTCCTGCACTGCTTTGCTTAATACTCCATCTCTTCCAACAATTCTTCCTTTGTAGAGGGCTGCGGGACACCTTACTCACTGTGTCCTACACAGTGGTAGGCACTCTGGCTAGTTCTTTTTAAAAAATATATATTTTATTAATTATGCCATTACAGTTGTTCTATTTCCCCCCTTTCATTCCCCTCCACCCTGAACCCCCCCCCCCACCATTCCCCCCCTTTAGTTCATGATCACATGTCTCAAGTTCTTTGGATTCTATATTTCCCATACTATTCTTGCCCTCCCCCTATCTATTTTCTACCTACCATCTATGCTACTTATTTTATGTACCTTCTCCCCCCTTCTCCTTCTCCCACTCCCCTGTTGCTAACCCTCCATGTGATCTTCATTTCTATGGTTCTGCTCCTGATCTAGCTGTCCTCTTAGTTTGCTTTTATTTTAGGTGTGGTTGTTAATAACTGTGAGTTTGCTGTCCTTTCACTGTTCATCTTTTTTATCTTCTTTTTCTTAAGTAAGTCCCTTTAACATTTCATGTAATAAGGGCTTGGTGATGATGAACTCCTTAAATTTGACCTTATCTGAGAAGCACTTTATCTGCCCTTCCATTCTAAATAAAAGCTTTGCTGGATAGAGCAATCTTGGATGTAGGTCTTTGGATTTCATGACTTGGAATATTTCTTCCCAGCCCCTTGTTGCCTGTAAGGTCTCTTTTGAGAAATTGGCTGACAGTCTGATGGGAACTCCTTTGTAGATGACTGTCCCCTTATCTTGTTGCTTCTAGGATTCTCTCCTTCATTTTAATCTTGGCTAATGTAATTATGATGTGCCTTGGTGTGTTTCTTCTTGGGTCCAACTTCTTTGGAACTCTCTGAGCTTCCTGGATTTCCTGGAAGTCTATTTCCTTTGCCAGATTAGGGAAGTTCTCCTTTATTATTTGTTCAAATAAGGTTTCCACTGGTGGCTGTTCCTCTTCCCCTTCTGGTACCCCTATAATTTGGATGTTGGAGCGTTTAAAGATGTCTTGAAGGTTCCTAAGCCTCTCCTCATTTTTTTGAATTCTTGTTTCTTCATATTTTTCTGCTTGGTCATTTTTTTCCTCCTTCTGGTCCACTCCTTTGATTTGACTCCCACTTTCCTTTCCATTACTATTGGTTTCCTATATATTTCCCTTCATTTCAATTAGTTTAGCCTTCATATATTCCTCTAATTTGTGACTAAAATCAACCAGTTCTGTGAGCATCCTGATCACCAGTGTTTTGAACTGTGCATCTGAAAATTTGTCTATGTCTTCATCGCTTAGATTTATCGGCTTTGGGGCTCTGAGTTGTTCTTGAGCCATGTTTTGATCTGTTCGTGCCTGTTAAGTACGAGGAGCGGAGCCTTAGTTGTTCACCAGGGCGGAGCCACCCATGTCACTGGTTTGTGACTCTGTATGTGGGGGCGGGGTCGGAGAGGGACAATGGCAGTTCCCTCTGCTGCTTCCAGCCACTGAGGCCTGTGTAGTCCATCTCACTGCTCGCTCCTTCACCGGTTTATCTGAGCGCGAATGTGTGAGCGTGATCAGCCCTCAGTGGGTCCACCTGCTTCTCCACACCTGGGATCTACCCACAGCTGCTGGCGCACCTGGGTCTCCTGCCCGGGTCGGTCTGGTGGATCTTTCCTGCCTGACCCGCTCTGCTGCTGGCTCTGCCCCTCTTACCAGTTTGGTTGAAGGGTTCGTTATTGTCAGACTTCCGTGTGGTTCAATTTTCTGTGTTTTTGTTGCTAAAACTTTGTTGTTTTTAAACTTGGTTGTGCGAGAAGGTACAGTGCTTCCACCTGTGCCTCCATCTTGGCGGAAGTCCTGGCTAAGTCTTAATAAGTGGTTGGTGAGTAAGTGAATAAATGAAGAATTTAATCAAGACTGAAATAGCTATAGGATAAAAGCATAGGAAAAAATTCTATGTATACTTATAGCTATAAATAAGAAAATCTTAACATAAAAACACATCTATTTCCTCATGTAATATATTTCCATATATGTAGCATGATTCAGAGTCTACTCTTTTATTGATTAGCAGGGTTTTCTGGAGGATTCTGTTTTCACAGCCTTGCTGTCTATAGGCTGAGTATTTGGATAAAATGGGATTTAATGAAATGCACAAACAATTAAAGAAGGCAATTTTAAAAACAAAAATTTCTGATAATCTGATTCTATAAAGCATTGCTAAGTGGTTTGCAAGTACCATCTGAGTTAATCTTCACGATAACTCTATTGTCTCTAGAGTGTACCTGTCTCTTTTGAAGATAAGAAGACTAGGGTTTGGTGAGATGTAAGCACTTACTAACATTACACAGTGAACAGCAGAGGCAGGATATGAAAGCAGATCCATCTGACGTCAATATTCTTGTGCTTAACTAGTAATCTGTTCAGCCTCTTTCCTTTTGTCCATGATTTTTATCACATGATAACATCTATCACATGATAAATGCAAATATACTTACAAGAATTTACTTTTTAATGCAGAACTTCATTATCCAGTATTTGGATAGACAATTTTCATATTTCCTGGGACTGTCACGTGAGAACCCGGAAGCCCAGTGGCAATGGGTGGACAGGACGCCATTTAACCCACATATGGTGTAAGTATATTGCCTGGGGTAAAGGAACTCTGTAGGCAATGGTGGGAAGGAGGTAGCAAGCAGAATTAATCTGGGGGTGGAGGATACCGATGTGAAAGTGCTACTCAGCACTGTGTTGAGTCACCTCGATGCCAGTATAGTGCTGTCCTTGTATTGAACCCTGCAGCTCTAAATTTTTCATTTAGGGGCATTTTCTCTGCAATGTCCCCTGACACCTACCCTAAGTGTATGTGTACATATTATATATACTTTTTTTTCTTTCAGATTATGGCATATGGGTGGGCTCAACAACCAACAGAAAGAAAATTGTGTTGTCCTTGTTAATCACCAAGACAAATGGGCCTGGAATAATATTTCTTGTAAATTTGAGGCAAGTAGGATTTGTAAGAAACCTGGAGTAGTACTTGCCTGAAAGTTATGAAGGAGTTCTTGTGGTGAGGACGGAAAAGAAGAACCTGTTAGACCAGGGCAGAATGTACATGCCTCATCGGAATAAAGAAAACATGCTACATCATAGAACATTTTCAATCATGATGGCCTTATTTATTTGTTCAATTCATTCAAGATGATGTATTTTTGTGTGGTGTTTCAGTAGAAGGAATCATCTCTTCTATAAAAGTCATTTTTCATTAACTTTGCTATCTTGATAGTATTTCAAAGAATTTACTTTTCAATTGGTGTGTATTTATTACACATTTAGTAGAATGGCTTAAATGGTGCAATGTCTTACTTATTTCTTCCTCTGTCCCAAATCTTTTTTTTAGCAATAAAATTTTAATTAATTTATTTTTAGAGGGGAAATAAAGGGAGAAAGTGAGGGAGAGAAACATCAGTGTGTGGTTGCCTCTCTCGGGCCTCCTACTGGGGACCTGGCCCACAACCCAGGCATGTGCCCTGACCAGGAATCAAACCAGTGATCCTTTGGTTTGCAGGCAGGCGCTCAGTCCACTGAGCCATGACAGCCAGGGCCCAAATCTTAACTCTTAAACTGTAGTAGGATATTCACATTGTACAAATGAAATGAATATAACCAATATAAGATTGCATGCCACCCATACTTAAATTAAAAAAAAAATTCAAAGGTAGAATATTCCAATTGGTAATGGGACATCATTTTCTTAACTCAAATGTCATAAATGCTTTAAAGTTTTTAAAACATATTTTAATTGTTTGATGCTTCATTTTTAGACATTTTAATAGTATCAGTCATTAGATTGACATTTTGTAAGAAAAATATCTTCTGAACCACGGTATAAAATAGTTCAAACTGACAGTGACCAGAGGGAAGGGGGTGGGGAATGACAGAGGAAAGAAGGGGAAGGGGCGAGCAAAGGAGCACAAATAGAGGACTCACGGGCATGGAGAAAGGCGGGGAATCGACTGTGGGAGTTGAGGGGATGGCATAGGGGTGAGCAATGGGGAAAAAAGGGGGACTGTAACTGAACAACAATAAATTTTTAGAAGGTTCTGAATTATGGCATTACTCAGGTAGAAAGAAAATGTCTATGGATCTTTAAAAAGTTTATTTCTTTATCCTAAATGTCTTACCAAAGCAGGGAATCTCAAGTTGACTTACTTGTTTTATTTTTTATTTTTTGAGTGGAAAAGTCATCTTAACCAAACTCCTTCAATTCTATAGCTGAGGAAACAAAAACCTTGGGAAGTCCAAGAGTTCCCCTTCGCATTGCTAGTGCATGAGAGAGCCAGGCACATGGCTCAGGTCTAAGAGGTGAAACGCACTCTCTCAGTTATTACAGGAAACTTTCTGCAGGCGACTTGGCCTCTTAGCTAACAGATAGATGAAAGTTCTTAATTATTTGAAGTAACATTGTGTTGGTGTTTCTATATTTTTAATTTGGATAATATTTTCAACTCACATAAATTGTTAGCATGTTTCTTTGGAGCTATAAAGCTATAGCTCAAACTGGCAAGATAGTCATTGTTTTAGTGACTGAAGATTATGCTTTTGTGATATATGTAGTATTGACTGTGGAGCAGTCACATCTAACATCGACAAAATAGAATGATCTTTCTTAAAATTCTGAACACTGATGTTCGTTGGACCTATGCTAAAAAATGTCAAGCAACAGTTTTTTAACCTAAGTTTCTTACCACTATTTTTAAAACAGCATTTTGCAAATTACTGATCTCCTGAGTTTGAATGTTAGTGCTTGCTTGATTGATTCCACACATGTGTGTATGTGTCTGCACTTAAAGCTGATCCTTTCACTAGTGCTAAGTGGCTTTGTGTTTGCCATGTTTATTAAGTTACAAGGTCTACAAAAACCTGTAGAAATAACTTTATGTAAGCACTAATAGGCTTTGAATAGTTACCATTATTCATTTTTATTTGCATAAAGTTGTGTACTGGTAGAGATTCAGATGTCAATAAAATGCGACCCCTTTGTGATTTTATACATCTCCGTGAATGTCATTTTTCATTACCTCCATGGCTGCCACCATGGGCCAGGCCAACATCTTCTCACCTGGCTTATTGCAGTGGTTGTCTGATTGGTGTCCTTGTTTCTACCCGTAGTCTCTTTTAGTCTATTCTCAATACTCAGGGCATCCCTCCAATTCTTCAAAAAATTTTTAAGACACCTGATAGTAACTTCATAAAAATAAATGCTAAGTAGTGTAGTATACTGTAGAAGTACTAGACATGTGAAATACTTTAAAAGTGTTTCAAATCTTTAAAAAATTTAAATACTGTTTTTATCTTTGAAGAAGTAATGTGGTAAATCTTTAAAAAGGCAGACAGTAAAAACATTAATAAAAGTATAAAATAAATCTCTTTTCCACCCTGAACTCCAACCCCTAAATCCTTCTTCAGAGTAACTACATGATCAGTTTTTTTGTATTTTCATATGTGTTTTTATGTATCATAGAACATAGATATATAACCTGTAATTTTTTTATAATACTAGAACATTATCTACATAATTTAAACATCTTATATTTTTTACTTAACATATAGCTTGGAAACTTGTTCCTCATCAACAAATAGTGTTTTATTATACTGATGTATCATAATTTGAAATAACCTTAAAAATGACCAAAAAAAACTTTATATAATAACAATCAACAAAATACAGTTGTGGAACATACTTGGGAATAATCCCAGATCAGAGTTCCAAGAGGATTATTTTCTCCTTGAAAATATGGGACTGAGAATCCATTTGAATGCACTGAGGTGATGCACAATTCTGGAGAGTTAAGGGATGAACTATTAGTCGGTACACAGAAAACTAAATAAATTTAAAAAAATAATGCCAAGAGGCTTCCAGTCAAGATGGCAGTGTAGGCAGTCATGGCTCACCTCTTCACACAACCACATCAAAATTACAAGTAAAATATAGAACAACCATCACTCAGAACCATCAGAAATTGAGTTGAATGGAAGTCTGATAACTACAGAATTAAAGAAACCACACCTATCTAGACTGGTAGGGATGGGCTCCTCACCCACGTGTGGTGAACAAAAGTTCAGGAGGGATATTTCAGGAGCGAGGAGTCCCAGCCCCACATCAGGCTCCCCAGCCTAGGGTTCCAGTTCTAGGAAGATAAGTCCCCACAACTTCTGGCTGCAAAAACCAGCAGGGATTGAGTCAGTGGAAGAAACTTCTGGAACCCCAAGCAGTTCTTCTTAAAGAACCAACACACTGACTCATCTACTCAGACTCACTCCCTCTGAGCTCCAGCACCAGGATAGCAGATTAAAAGGCACCAGTGGCATAATGAGAGGAACCGAAGTGTCTGGCATCAAGGCAAGCAGAGGCCATTGTCCCTTTTCTAAACCCTTCCCTGATACAGCTGGCAAGCTGGTGCCATTTCTGAGATTCCATCAACCTGGCTAACACTGTTGCACTCACCTTGGCACTCCCCAGAGACTCTGCCTCACCCAACTTACAGGCCCATCCAAGCTGCTTTTCCATATGAGTGTCTGGTATTGGCTCATCCTTCACATCTATCAAACAAGCAGCAGCATTCCTTCATGAGCTCCAGGCACATCACTGATTGGCAGCTTGGCTTTGCCTGGGAATCTACAAACCAGCACAAGTAGCAGCCTCCTCAGATTGCTTTATAGCTCAGGGAGGGGACCCTGGGCAAAACACAAATTGGGGCTGACCTTGGCCAGCACCACCTAGGAAATCCCAGGACCAGTGCGAGCAGTGGACAGCTACAGACCATATGGAGCATCACCACCCTGCATCTGCACAGCTGATCCTCCATAGAGGACAGAGGTTGTGATAAGTGGACACAGCCAAACTTTGCAGCTGACTGACCTGGGTAAATCTGTCCCATTGATTTGCCAACAGCAACCAAAACTGAATTACATGAGTAGGGTGTACTCAGGCCATACAAATAGCACACCTTGAGTTCCCAGCTTGGATGATAGGGAAGGCTGTGCCACTGGACTCTGTACACTAGACACTTATGACATTGGGCCACACTACCAAGATATGAAGTCAAAGAAGCTCTATCTAGTACATAGAAACAAACACAGGGAGGCAGCCAAAACAAGGAGACAAAGAAACGTGGCCCAAATGAAAACTCCAGAGAAGTAGCTAAATGAAATGAACATACACAATCTATCAGATGCAGAGTTCAAAACACTGTTTATAAGGGTGCTCAAGGCACGTAGCGAGGACCTCAAGAGCATGGAAAAGATCCAGTAAGAAACAAAGAATATACTAATTGAAGTAAAGAACAATTTACAGGAAAACAACAGTAGAGCGGATGAAGCCAATATTCAGATCAATGCTTTGAAACATAAGGAAGCAAAAATAAAAATAAAAAACAAAGCCATTAAGAAGAAAAAAGAACATCAAGAAGAAAAAAGAATCTGACTTCCAGCCAAGATGGAGGCATAGAGATTCAGTTGTCAATAAAATGTAGGTAGATAGACTGTATCTCCTCTCACAACCAAAAGAAGGGCAACAACAAATTTAAAAACAAAAACCAACCAGAACTGCCAGAAAATCAAACTGTATAGAAGTCTGACAATCAAAGAGTTAAAGAAGAAACATTCATTCAGACCAGTAGGAGGGGTGGAGACAGGTAGCCAGAGAAGAGATGAATCATGCAAGAAGGTGGTTGGTGGACCCTGGGCAGGTGGCAGCTGGTGGACTGGGCAAGGCAGTGGCTGGAGGAGTGGGTGGTCCCACATTTGGGTGCAGATAAACTGGGAGGAACAACTGGGGAATGAGACAGACCATGCAACCCAGGTTTCCGGCGTGGAGATATTAAAGCCTCAAAACCTTTGACTGAAAAAATATGGGGGGGGGCATTGCAGCAGCAGGAGAAACTCCCAGCCTCACAGGAGAGTTCATTGGAGAGACCCATAGAGTCCTAGATAGGCCCAATTTGCTTGTGGGTAGCAGAGGAAGTGACTGACAGCTGGCTGAGAGCTGAGCAAGCTGCACTACTCCCTCTCAGACTCCTCCCCCACACACAGTGCCACAACACAGTGACGTGGGTTGCAGAGACAAATACCTAAGTCTCTGCCTCTTACTATACAATAAACACACTGAGACAAAAAAAAAAAAAAGACCCAAATAAAAGAACAGAAAAAATACAACTAAGTGATGAAGAGACAGCCAACATATCAGATTCAGAGTTCAAAACACTGGTAATCAGGATGCTCACAGAAATGATCGAGTACAGACACAAAATAGAGCAATAAGTGAGGCTATGAGAAGTGAAATGCAGGAAAGTACACAGGGAACCAACAGTGATGGTAAGAAAACAGGGAACCAACAGTGATGGTAAGAAAAAATGAGGAGAGGCTTAGGAACTTTCAGGACAACTTTAAATGTTCCAACATCCGAATCATAGGGGTGCCAGAAGGAGAAGAGGAAGAGCAAGAAATTGAAAACTTATCTGAAAAAATAATGAAAGAAAATTTCCCTAATTTGACGAAGGAAATAGGCATTCAAGTCCAGGAAGCATGGAGAGTCCCAAACAAGATTGGATGCAAAGAGGTCCACTCCAGGACACATCATAATTAAAATGCTTAAGGTTAAAGATGAAGAGAGGATCTTAAAGGCAGCATGAAAAGAGAAGTTAGTTACCTACAGGGGAGTTTCCATAAGACCATCAGCTGATTTCTCAAAAGAGACTTTGCAGGTTAGAAGGGATTGGCAAGAAATGTTCAAAGTCATTTGAAAAGCAGGGACCTACAGCCAAGATTTCTCTACAAAATGGTAATTTCCAGTTGAGGGGCAGATAAAGAGCTTCCCAGATAAGAAAAACTAAAGGTGTTCATTATCACCAAACCATTATTATAGAAATGTTAATGGGACTTATTTAAGAAAAAGAAGATCAATACTATGAACAATAAAATGGCAAAAAATACAAATTTATTGACAATTGAATCTAAAAAACAAAATAAGCAACCAAGAAGAACAGAGACAGAATCATGGACACAGAGAGTCTTTTGTTGGTTGCTAGATGGGAGGGGGTGTAGAAAAATTGGTGAAGGGGTGATGGGTTCAAGCACAAGTAGGTAGTTCCAGAATAGCCATGGAGATGTAAAGCACAGCACAGGAAACGGCACAGCCAAAGAACTTATATGAACAATGGTGTGGGGATTGCCTGAAAAAGTGGGGAATGTTGGGTGGAGAGGAGGCAAAGGGGGAAAAAATCAGGACAACTGTAAATAGCAAAAATCAATAAAATATAATTTAAAAAAATGATGCTAGTAATAGTTACATAAAAAGCAAAATGTGTTTAAGAGAGTGTAAGTAATCATGACACAGTACACAATTCAGCTGTGAATAATATTTATATATTATAATAATGTAAGTATTGAATATTTATTTAACAAAATTAAATTATGATACAGTGATATGAGAGACATGGGAGGTATGTGTGACAGAGAGAGACAAAGAGAGAGAGATTCTTGTTTTTATTAATGTGAAGAAATGGCCAAATTACACAAAATTGAAAAAAAACAAGACATTATAGTATATACTATTAGATAAAAACAGAAATTATACTATTTAGAAACATAGAATGCATCAGCAGAAGAAACATCTGAAGAGTTGAATGTGTTTGCCTCTTGAGCATGGGAATAAAGCTATTTTAAATTTATAATTCCTATAGAAAATGTTTTTTTAAACAATGTACATGTATGTACATAGTATACAAACTTATTGATATAATTGACATTAACATTTAGCAATTAGCATTTTAATGTTAACATTTGATATTAAAAAGAGATGGTTAAGGATCACCTAAAAAAATAAATAAACCAAAACAAAAAGAATAACAAATAACCCCAATAAACCATTTAGTGTAAAACATTTAACAAATAAGAAAGAAAAGGGATTTTCCACACAGGCTCTACTTCAAAATCTATTATATTATATTTAATGATA